TCTATTATTTAATATTCACACTAATTTTCCAACCATACCAATCTATCCCGCCAATCTGGCATATTCTATCTATTACGAGTATAGTATAGGGCCTGACTGACTGAACTCGATTGACTCATAATAGCCATTACATTTAGACCGCCAAACACTGTACTTTTTGGTTTTCTTATTTCAATCAGATTTATACGTAATGTAACTAATGTAAGGTAAACTTACACCTATATTATCGTGAACTGAGCTAATAATATCCATAACTATACTTCTTTATAGAACCTAAATTAAAAAATATAATTAAAAATCATTCAATTTGTGTTTAATGTATTTACATTTGTACAGTTGAATCTATTAAAAAGTATTTATTCACCGTATAATTGTATTATAATCTAAAATATTTACAAAAGCACAATAAATAGTTCCTATAACAGATACGCCTACCTGTATCTTTTGTAAAATTGAAGATMGCATGCATTATCTYCATAGGCAAACTGCACAAAATCAATTAGTTCGAATATATCATCCATATTAACTATATATCCTTTAGATAGCAGGACAATTTWATAAAAACAAAAACATAAATTGATACACTGCAGTAGAAGGTAGAATTTTGTGAACAATTTTAACCTAGCTGAGTTTTCAGTGGTTCKTTCAAGCCCGGATTAAGGGGAGAGCACGTCCATGGGGCATACGTATGTAAAGGAYCAGATAAGTTATATTTAAAAGATGTGTTTATCTGACTACTGACTACATAWCGATYACAGCGTTTATGTTGTGTAATGTCAATACAATCCTTTGATTGCTATTTTCATTAAAATATCCAATTAATTAATATAACATAATTTGTTTACCGTGTATAGAGTCGTAGCTCGTGAGAATATATAATATAAGTATAAGAGGTTGGAAAGRCTGTTGTCCGTTATAGACAGTTATAGTACCTTTTATGTCCATCTTATTTATCATCATCGGCAAACTGCGCAAACTCGATATATAAGTTCTAATTATTCATATACACATAAACTATAGGTACTTATCTAACTAATGGCCTTTGTTGCCGAAGTTGTAAATGATCAAGAAAAAAATCTATGCTTAA